TACCAAATACCCAGCTGCCGTAAATGTAAAAACATCATACTCTGGATTTACTTTTTAAAAGAATTTAAAAAAAAAAAAAAAGACCAGAATGCCTGTTTCGATGCCACCCAAACTTTGAAAAGTTCTGGTTTGTAGCTACAGAACTTTATTTTTATCTGAGGGCAAACGGAGGTCTGGAGCGGGATGTCAGGAGAGAGAGGAGGAGCCCACCTTCAAGTAGGACCAGCCCCTTCCCGCTGTCTACTGGGAGGCAGTGGCTTGAGAGGTTCAAACGCCTGTTGCCTTTTTGCAATTTATAGAGTGGGTCTCAGCCAAGGCTTAGCATCCGGACACACGCTCCGCTCCGTCAAACACAGATTTCCTCGGGCAAACAGACCGTCACAAGTTCCCGACCACCTTGGGCTCTCCAGATCACGCTGCTGCTCCAGCTGACGGGGCAGAGCTGACACACCACGCAGCCCTGAAGGGACGGCCACACGGCGCATCTCCAGGGACCTCCCAGCACCTGGAGCGGCGCAGAGTGTCCCCAGTCCCGGGCAGAGCAGGGTGCAGGTTCGGAGCAAATCCACAGGAGGTACACCGTCCTCCCAGGCATCTGGCCAGAGAAGGGGAAGAGGGTCCCGACCTCGCCTTTGGGACACGCTCTGGCGCCATCCTGCCACTGACCTCTACTCCGCGCGTGGTTCTAGGAGCGGGGGCTCTCCGTGCCCCAGGCAATGCCAGATCCCCGCGGGGTCTGCAGCGGGCCCGGGGGCGTGGAGAGAGCCCACTGACCTGGGTGCGGGACTCCTCTCCGGGCGGCTCAGGTGTGCGGGCAGCTCCCGTGTCCTTCCCACCTCCGAACATGAGCGCTGGGAGCCGAGGTGCAGGTCACTGACCCACCGACCAACTGACCGACCCACCACCAGCGGAGCGACCGGCGGTGGCCGGGTCTGGAGCCCACGTGACGGGGGCGGGGACCCACGGAGGCACATCCCGAGGCGCCCGCTGCTTCCCCCGCCTTCTTTCCCCGGGGACCGCCCTCCGGCCTCTCCCCCGCCCTCTCCCGCGCCGCCGTGAACCGCAGGACCTTCCTCCGCAGGTTCGGTTTCCCTAAGGACCGGCCTTGTCGCCCCGCCCCTCCCGAGCCCCGGCCCCGCCCCCGGCAGCGCTCTTCATCCCCCCCAAGCCCCGCCTCTCCCAGGAGACCACGCCCCTCCAGAGACCACGCCCCTCCTGGCCCCGCCCCGCCTGTCACCTTCCCATCCCCGCACCCTTCGCGCCCCGGGAGGCAGCCGCCAGAGGGTTCCCCGCTCTCAGTCCTGGGCTTCCCGGCCCTTCAGCGCTATGCCCCCCGGCGGGAAGGGATGAACACGGGGAAGCAGAGAGGGAATTCGTGTCGCGAATGGCAGAGGAAGAAGCCATAGCGAAACCGAAGAGAGGCACACACAGCGCAACGACTCCCGGACTGGTGCGATTCCGTCCCAGTTGAGGTTGGCCAGAGGGAAGCCTCTTATTCCCTGTCTCCCACGTCCAACCCCAGCCCGCCCCTCAGTGTGGAAGGAAGGCTCTGAGGCACCCCAGGGTCCCCATGCACTTGAGTCCCTGGACTTGGGGTGGAGGTCCTTCTAGTGGTCAGCGCCATCTAGAGGCACTGCTGCCCTGTCTTATGAACAGCCGAGGACAAGAAGCAGCTCCGGGGGGGGGGGGGGGGGGGGGGGGGGGGGCCAGCAACACCAAGGCTGGGGTCCACAGGCCCAAGAAAAGCGTTGAGGGTCTGACCACAGGAACGGATTCTAGAATCTGGACAGGACCGGGCCCTGGAGACCCAGTCCAAAGCCTTCCCTAGTGCAGTGGTCGGCAAACTCATTAGTCAACACAGCCACATATCAACAGTACAGCGGTTGAAATTTCTTTTGAGAGCCACATTTTTTAAACTTAAACTTCTTCTAATGCCACTTCTTCAAAATAACTCGCCCAGGCGTGGTATTTTGTGGAAGAGCCACACTCAAGGGGCCAAAGAGCCGCATGTGGCTCTTGAGCCGCAGTTTGCCGACCACGGCGTATGGCCGGAATCCCCATTGGTTGAACTGCTAGGTTGTTGCCCTGCCAAGGCCTCCAAGCACTAGCTGCTCGGTTCAGCTGATTAAAATCCCTGTGTGGGCCTCAGATGGCAGCGACACCAAGGACTCTGGCATAGTCCCCAGCTCTGGCAGGAGTCACCACAGACCTGGTCTCAGTTGTTGTTTTGTTTTTTTCTCTCTACGTTTCCACAGGTCAGAGTGTTGACAAACACCACAAGACACATCTTTTTTCAAATTTCCCCGGTGGTCTGAAATTACCAGTGTGCCCAGAAGGTGTACATAGGAACAGAACTTAAGCCAGCCTGGCAAACATGAGACTCCAGCCACTGCAGGAACCTGGCCAGGAGCAGACTGAAGGCAAAGCCAGCAGAGGAAGGCTGGGGCCCACAAGAGTTGTGTTACAGCAGGACACCCTCCAGTTCTCTTTCACTTCCTTAAAATAGCAGCAGGGAGGCTTCTGTGGAGGAGGCCGAAGTGGTTCACACGAGTTCATGGGTGTTCCCAAGTCCCACATGTCATTGCCCCATGGGACCCGCTGCCCAGCCCCCAGACCCCAGAAGAGGCTAATCTGTTCTTAGAACGATGCCATTACTTTTTAAAAAGTCACTTTAAAGAATGGTCTCCGTCACTGGCTCTCAGGCGTATTTGCACACTGGAACGGCTTTGGAGGAGGGGGACTCAAAAATGTATCCGGGTCCCACCTCCAGAGGTTCCGATTTGATGGGTTGGGGGTTTGGCATGGCATCGGGATTTTTAAAAGCGCCTCAAGTGATTCCCACGTGCAGTAAAGTTTAAGAACCATTTGGATAGGTCAAAGGGACTTTAATCTGGACTAAAATCCAACAAAACCCCAGAGCTAAAAGGCGATTTGCCTGGAAGAAGCTAAAAGCGTACAAAAGTGGCACGTTAACAGGGGCATCCTGGGGAAAATATCTTGACCTAAAAGAGTCATTCTAGCTGCAGGAATTTCAGGCGCCATGTGGGTTGTTAGTCCAAAGGGCACCCTGCAGAACTATCAATTCACAAAAAACAAAGCATATCACAAATGAAAGGCAGCCTCTCCTCCGTGCTTCCAAAGGAACCATGTGGCCAGGACTCCCACAAAGCCCCATTCGCCAATAACTCTACTCTCCCCTCCTCCGTGAGACAGCTCACCTCCCTTCTCCCTGGAAAATGGGTAATCTTCTTTTACCCATAGGGTAGGGAATGTCGCCAAACCCATGGACCGGGTAATATCATCATGTTTATGCATACCTGCCTCATTCCACGATGGATCTGAGCTTTCTGTATCACGCTCTATTAGAACGGAGGGTAATTGCAATGTATCCATGGGGTGAGCAATCCCATTCTGCCTAAGATCTACTCAGATGCTACAGAGAAGAAAACCTCTCTTCACTGCCGATGGCCCCGCCTGAGCTTGGCAGAGTCTGGAAAACAGCTGCAAGTATACAAAGCAAGCCCTCTCATGTGACCAACCTGGGAACACAGGGGCCTCAGCACATGACACAGACTGGCACCAGAGCCTGCCCTTATGACCCAACCCTGACTGAATTGGACTAATGCGTGGGAAAGACTTTGAAGAAGCCCCTCTGGCCAGGCCCAGCTGCCCTCTGTCCCCTGTGCCACATGGCACGCCTGCTGTGGCAAGGAGACACTTGAAGGCTATCTGGCTTCCGTCCAGATTCCAGAATATTTACCAAGGACCTCCGTGTATGGAGGCTTGTTCACTGTAAACCCAGGCCTGGACCTCACTCCCTGAAACTGCTCTGCTGGAGGGCATGCAGGCAAATGAACCTGATGAAGTTTGTTTGGTGTCAGCTTTATTGTATTTCAAGCAAGAAGACAGATGCTGGGGAATAAAGACAAGATGAGGCTAGAGGTAGGGTTCTCACTCACAGACTGGTGTTCTGGAGGAAGTAGCTTTTGAAAGGCCTATAGGAAGGTCATGTGTGAACATGAAAAGTGGTTAAAGGGAAGACCATTATTTTGGTATGAAATGATCAACGTATTGCTTATAAAGATTGAGTGAGCAAACAGACACACATTTTGAATATTTATAAAATACATTTCATTTTCAAAATTGAGCTGTCGGCTGTTAAAGGGGGTATATATATATATATATATATATATTTTTTTTTATTTTTTTTTTTGAGACACCCTGTATTTGGTGCTTCCTTGGACAATGAAAAAACTATGGGACTTGCAGTATTTTATAGCTATGTCTTTCATTTTGTAGCTCTGACATTTTGAATGGCTCACCTAAGCTCTTCTCATCTCTAAAATGGCAACTTTAAAGAGTTGTTCTGCCTACAACACCATGATAAGAATCAAATGATGTAACAAAGGTGCAAACACTTTGCACCTGGAAGGTGGTATTCAAATGTTCATGTGTTTACCTTATTATTATATCTGCCTAGCTTGGTAGAGAGGCAGAGCCAGGGGAAATCTAGATTAAACATCAATAAGAAAGCAAACTTTAGTTAGGCAGTAAACATGGAAGAATATCGAAAGGCATTTGTGAAAGAGGAAAGCATCTGAGCAAAGGCCAGAGGAGAGGAGAGCCAGCATATTAGAAGGTGTCCTGCATTCCTAACTGCTTGGAAGGATAGGGTGGGTAGAGTTAGAGTCAATGCTAGGAAAAGAAAAGGCTGGAAGTAAACTGGACAGAATGTGGAAGGCCTTGATCGCAAGACATTTGGATGGGTAATGGAAGTTGTTGAAAATTTCTGAATGACAGGCTCTCATTTAAGCTCTTGAAAGATCTCTAAGACAGCAACATCTGGGAGGATGCACATGCATTCCGACTTCTAGACCCCAAGCCTGTGTGTGATCAGAGGGAGGCAGTATTGCAAAGGAGCGGTGGCCTCAGTGTGTCCTGGAGAGCAGTTTCCAAGGCCATGTCCAAGGCCAAGGCGCTCTCCCTCCCGCTGTAATGCATTACTTCACAGGCTGCTTTCTCTTGGTCTGGAGTTTGTAAATGATCTGGTTTCCATCATTCCAGGCGTAGAGCTGCTTATCTCTGGCATTGTAATGGATCATGGAATGACTTCTCGGCCGCCTGGGAAAGAACACGTTGGGCAGATCCTCCTCACTGATAGTGCCCCGTGGGTCATAAACACAGGTGACGTGATGCGGGCCATGGCCGCCGGAACTATAGACCACATAGAGGACCCCACACAAGAGGAACCCAGCTTCCGCATCCTGGCTTCTGCATGGAGTGTCCCATGAGTGTTCCACTCCGAGCGTGCCAGGCTCAATTTTTGTGAGAACCAAATGGCCATGGAGGCCTGGCCCTGCGTGGATGGCCCAGAGCCCATGCTCATCCACAGCCAGGTCAATGTAAGTTGAAGGGGAGTGCTGATAGACCAGGGCTCGGCCTGCCCCTCCTGGGAGCAGCATTCGATCCTCCACAGTCCTCTTCTGCAGGCTATACTTGATTATCTCGTTGGGAGTCCCTTGGTTATGAAAAAATAGGAAACCTTTGTAGACCACTTGGCCTGTTCCCTGCCAGGATTGTGGTAAGACCAACTTCCGGGGGCCTAGCTTGGTGCTATCCTCCAGGAGTGCCCGCATGTTTGCAAATTCCCAAACGGTGTTGTTTCTGGATCCGATTAAGAAATAAACCTTTGGAGAGTCGCTGACAGCATCTTTCATCCAAGAGCCATCTGTGTCCAGAGTCTTCTTCACTATTTTCAGAGACTTTATGCCCATCAGCATGTTGTCACAGCCTGGCCAAACAGGAGAAAAAGGGAAGGTTACTTTATAAACATGAAATATCTGCTTTTCTCAAGGATGGCTTTCCCCCCTTTCTTGTCTAGAATGAAGTCATCACATAGATCAATGACAATTTTTGGTATGATTCAGTGAATCAAATAATTAAAGAGTAAATGGGCCTCTGTGAAGGGAGTTGCTGTCCAGTTAGAAGAGTCAGCATTTCATTCAAGTCAGGATACAAAAGCTGTCAAAAGCTCTGTTCACTCTCTAGAGCACTTGGGGGTTGAGACAGGGAGAATGACTTAGGTGTGAAGCTGCCTAATTCAATTCCATTTGCCAAGGTTTTATTGAGTATCTACTGTGCTAGTGTATAATGCTCCCAGAACAGTGCTAAATATTAAGGGTAAAAAAATCTATTTCTGACAAAAACAAACAAACCACAAAACATGCCTTAGCTAAGATAAGAGACACTTGGAGCAGAACCAAATCACCCCAGGTCAGCCCAGCCTAGATCAACAAACCCTCCTTTAATCACAGACCATGAGAACAAATGATTGTTGTTTTAAGTTACTCAGTTTTGGTGTTGTTTGTTCCACAGTATTTTTTTAAAAAATAGATCTCTTTTCTACTGTATAATTTCTCTCTCTCTCTCTCTCTCTCTCTCTCTCTCTCTCTCTCTCTCTCTCTCTCTCCCCCGTATATGTGTGCATATGATAGAGGGTTTTTTTGTATTATTATTAATCACTATTGTATTATTTCCCATACAAATAACTGTAAACCTACTTTTGCCCCATCACACACACACACACACACACACACACACACACAATCAACCCTAGACCTTGAGGATACCATCCTCTAATGAAAGATTCTGGCCCTAAACTACTAGAACATTATAAGAGCTCTATTCACCCAACCATTTATTAATTCATGAACTCATGCATGCATTTAACCAGCAGACATTGGATACCTACAAAGGCAAGATACAGACCTGGGTGTTATGAGCATGGGCTGAGATGCAATGATAAATTAGGAGTAGTTCTTGCTTGATACACATTTGACTAAGATATAAAGATTAATGTGATTTTTTTTTTTTTTTTTTTTTTTTTTTTTTTTTACAAAAGAAGAACAGGGAATAGAGATGTCATTTGAGGAGACAGAAGCTAACCTGCATTTGAATTGGCCCTTGAAGAATGACATTCTGAGATAGGTGGGAAGAACATTCCTGACAGTTAACAAAACCATATTTGGGAAAGTCCTCCAAGATTAGTGTTAATAACATAGTATCAAATTTAAAGCAATTTGAGGCACCAAATTTATGCCTCAAACTAGATGCATAAAACAAAGTAGTAGATTGAAACCAGATTTGTGCTTGGAACCTTGAGGGTGGGGCTAAGGATGATGGATTTTTATTCTAGAGGCAGATGGGGAGCTACTGCTGATTTTGAGCAAGGGTGAGCAATGATCAAGCTGTTCAACAAGATTAATTAGCTGGCAGTCATGTGTATAATAGATACTTGGGAGAGAGGCCAAAATCAGGGAAACCAATTAGAATATTTCTATAATTCAAACGGATGATAAGGACGTAAACCAGGTGGAGGAAAATAAAGTGAAAAGAGGGGTTTACATTTTTCTAGCCCCTCATTGCCACTTCAGACTATTATAATTCCACTTTTAAAAAATATATATACTTTGAGAGGATCCAAGATGGCTGCTCAGGTAGACATCTAGCCGCGGCAGCACACAACAATTTCAATGGAATACAACTAAAATGTAGAGTGGACATTGCCCAGAGCTACAGGTAGTCGACTGACTGAAATTTCTACAACAAGAAGGAAAGAGAAAACCAGAAAGAAAATCAGAGGAGCTGAAAATAAGCCTAAGGTACGGAGACATGCTGCGCGCGCCTGCCCGCCCGCACGCGCGCACAGAGAGGTCGCAGCCGGAGAGGAGGAGAGGGCGGGGAGCCGCCTTTCCTTCCCTAGCAGGAAGGAAATAAAACCCCCAGCCTGGGCTGAACTCCCGAACCGGCAGCGCTGAGCTCCCCTGAACCGGCAGCGCTGAGCCCCAGTATGGGCCAGACCCTGGGGACCCAGGCTCCGGTGGGAGGAGACGGGGCCGTGAGGCGGAAAAACGGCGAAAGGCAGGGCCCCGGGAGTCACGCGCAATGCGCGCAGAGGACTGAATGTTGACTCTGATGCTGGGTTGCCCTAGCCGGAAGAAACAAGGCCTCCAGCGGCGCTGAACCTCAGTCCGGACTGCTCCGAACCCCAGTTCTGGGCCAATCCCTGGGGACCCAGGCTCAGGCAGAGGGAGACGGGGCTGTGAGGTGGAGTCCGGGAAGAGCAGCGAAAGGCCGGGCCCCCGGGACTCTCGCAAACTGCACGCAGAGGACAGTCTGTGGGACTCGCGCAAACTGTGCGCAGAGGACAGTCTGTGGGACTCGCGCAAACTGCGCGCAGAGGACAGTCTGTTGACTCTGATGCTGGACTTCCCTAGCGGGAAGGAGAAAAAAAAAGCTCTAGGCTGGGGGAACGCGGAGGGGAGCGGAAGCCCCTGCCGGACTCCAGCCAACCGGGCACCAGCAAGGAGGCGGGCCACGGGGCCCCTGGGGGCGTGGGTGCCCCTGAGCCTTTGACCACTGAGCTCGGGCAATGGAGCCAAGGCCGAGGGCTGCTTCCTGGGCGGCGCCGTCCCAGCAACAGGCTGAAGCAGCACAGGAGCCCGCGGAGAACAAAGGGGTGCCACAGGCCAACCTGCTGAGCTCCCAGGACAAGGAGGAAGAAACCAAAGAAGTTCTCAATGTGAAGAAATCAAGTGAGAGCAAAAAATAGTAAAATTACTTAAGAAAGAATACAAAGAAGATCTTGAAAAATCAAAGACTAAGTCAGAACTCAACTCACCAGCCAACATTGCAACATAAATGCGTTTTAAAAAGAAAAAAAAAGGACAGAATGTTGGAACAGCGACGGCCAGGCCTAGAGTGGCCAGGCACAAGGCAGTGGCAGCCAGACCCGTAGCAGCAACGGCCAGGCCCCAGAACAACAGCAGCCAGAACCAGAGCATCAACAGCCAGCACTGGAGTAGCCAGACCTGGGGCAGTGGCAGCCAGGCATGAGGCGGAGGCGGCCAAGCCCAGGGTGGCCAGTCCAGGAACACCCAGACCCGGAGTGGCCAGGCCCGAAGAAGCCGGGCCCAGAGCAGCCGGGGTGGGAGCAGCCAGACCCAGAACAGCAGTAGCCAAGCCCAGAGCATCCAGGTCGGGAGTGGCCAGGCTCGGAGCGGCCGGGCCCGGGGCAGCCGGGCCCAGAGCAGCCGGGTCAGGTGCGGCCAGGCCCGGAGCAGCAGCTGCCAGGCTGGGAGCGGCCAGGCCCGGGGGAGCAGTCGGGTCGGGTGTGGCCAGGCCCGGAGCAGCGGCTGCCAGGCTGGGAGCGGCCAGGCCCGGGGGAGCAGGCGGGTCGGGTGCGGCCAGGCCCGGAGCAGCGGCTGCCAGGCTGGGAGCGGCCAGGCCCGGGGGAGCAGGCGGGTCGGGTGCGGCCAGGCCCGGAGCAGCGGCTGCCAGGCTGGGAGCGGCCAGGCCCGGGGGAGCAGGCGGGGCTGGAGCGGCCAGGCCCGGAGCAGCGGCTGCCAGGCTGGGAGCGGCCAGGCCCGGGGGAGCAGGCGGGGCTGGTGCGGCCAGGCCCGGAGCAGCGGCTGCCAGCCTGGGAGCGGCCAGGCCCGGGGGAGCAGGCGGGTCGGGTGCGGCCAGGCCCGGAGCAGCGGCTGCCAGGCTGGGAGCGGCCAGGCCCGGGGGAGCAGGCGGGTCGGGTGCGGCCAGGCCCGGAGCAGCGGCTGCCAGGCTGGGAGCGGCCAGGCCCGGGGGAGCAGGCGGGGCTGGTGCGGCCAGGCCCGGAGCAGCGGCTGCCAGGCTGGGAGCGGCCAGGCCCGGGGGAGCAGGCGGGTCGGGTGCGGCCAGGCCCGGAGCAGCGGCTGCCAGGCTGGGAGCGGCCAGGCCCGGGGGAGCAGGCGGGTCGGGTGCGGCCAGGCCCGGAGCAGCAACAGCCAAGTCCAGAGCAACTAGGTTGGGAGCGGCAGTGACCAGACCCGGAGCAGCTGGTTGTGGAATGAACCAGAGCAACAGAGGCCAGGCCCTGAGCAGCCAGGCCCAGAACAGCTCGCTCCTTGCCTGCCCCTGCCCCACGGCTGCTTCTCAGACATGGATGGAAACTTTCGTGGGAACTTGAGTGTCTGCTGAATCAAGTGATGAAGGCTTAGATCTGGATGTGTTGAGTTAGTTTAGGATTGGGGTGTTGATCTGTGAGTGCCTTGGGTGGGGCCTGGATTAGGCTGGTTGACCTAGTGGGAAATGTCTTTTGTGTGAAGTGTATCATTGGGCATGTGGAGGTATTATTGATATGAGAAAATGCTAAGTAACTGATTTACTATCTGAAAAGGGATTTACTATTGGGGAAATTGAGGGAAGAAGAGACTGAACATAAACTGCACCTATGGATGAGGACAATGGGGGATGGGGGGGGATGGAGGGTGGGGTGGGAACCTGGTGGAGGGGAAAAGAAATGAGGAACCTTTGTAATAATATGAACAATAAAGATTGCTAAAAAAAAAAAAAATAAATAAATAAAAAATATATATACTTTATTTTTTTTACAGAGAGGAAGGGAGAGGGATAGAGAGTTGGAAACATCGATGAGAGACAAACATCGATCAGCTGCCTCTCTTGCACACTCTACTGAGGATGTGCCCTCAACTAAGGTACATGCCCTTGACTGGAATTGAACCTGGGACCCTTCAATCTGCAGGCTGACACTCTATCCTTTGAGTCAAAGGATAGGGCTATAATTCCACTTTTATGGGGGGGAAAGTGAAACAAACAAACAAAACAAAAAACCCCAACCCTTCCTTCTTTGTAGCTTATACTACCAACTCCTAGTCTAAATAACTGACTATTCCCCGGGATGCTACCCCAAATGCACCAAGAGCCTGAGCTCTGCAACTGTTGTGCCCAAGTGTCATA